TTTTTTTTTTTTGCTTTTGCTTTTTTTTTAACAAAGGAAATTAAAGGATTTTAAGTGTGCCTTCTAGTCAGAAAAATACGGTACTGAAAAAGTTATTGTGCTTAAGGTGCTTCGCTGACATCATCTGAGAGGTTCTGCCCTTGACTACCTCAGATTGGTTTAGACCATGATTTGGGCTCAATGTTGTCTGCTGTTGGCCACACGGAGACTTTCAGAGTTGTGGAGACTTTTTTTTTTTTTTTTTTTAGTAACTCGAACGCCTGGTCGCACAGGTGCGACCTAGGATGTTTTTTTAGTCACACCATTGAGAAATTAGGTCACATTTGCGACCAAATTGGTCACACTCTACAGCCCTGTTTCATGTTGTTTATAACCAGCCATGCAACCATCTGTGTGATGCAGCAGAAATCAAGACTCATCAGACGAGACAACATTTTTACAATGTTCTGTGGTTCAATTTTCTTGAGCCTCTGAAAACTGCAGCCTCAGTTTCATGTCCGTACCGGAGCAGCACCCAGTGTGATCTTCTGCTGCTTCAAAGTTCAACGAGTTGTGCGTTCAGAGATGCTCTTCTGCATACCTTAAGCCCCTTTTTCCATTAGTATCTACATGGATCGACTTGCCACTGTTCGCCACGACTTGATTGGGATCGACTGGTTTTCCAATACAATCGCGTACCACCTAATGTGTGTGGTCATTGTCATAGCAACATGGCCAAGCGTCCCGTGATTAGTTTGAGACGTGAACCCTACAACAAAGGTGGATGGCGAGGCAAGAATATACCTGCTACTCGGTCTGTGGCTTTCCGTCAGACTCGGGAGGCACCGGCATTATTTGTAGCCATTTCCCTCCTAGCTGGGTTTAAAAAATGACAGTTTTGATTTTCATGAATGAGATAATCTAATGACTCATGGAGTGACCCCCTGACAGGCCAATCGGTGGCATGTAGTCTGACGACGTCACACTTTAGTACCTGCTTGTATCACTGGTAAACTGTGGCGAACTGTTGCGAGTCGATCTGAGTAGGTACCAGTGGAAACGGGGCTTTAGTGGTAGCGAGCAGTTCTGTGAGTTACTGTTGCCTTCCTACCAGTTCGTTATGCTCTTACATCAACGTGCCATTTTCACACATGGAACTACTGCTGACTGGATATTTTGATCTTATTCGGACCATTCTCTGTAATACTAGACATTGTTTGGGGAAAATCCCAGTAGATCAGCAGCTTCAGAATATTCTCAGAGTCAACGACTGTGTCACGTTCAAAGTCACCGGTGTTCCTCATTCTGATGCACAGTTTGAACTTCAGCAGGTTGTGCTCTATGGATTAACTCATGTTTTAACTATGTAGTGCCATCACAGACTGGGTAATCTATTTTTAGCAAACAATTAGTCAGCCTTTTCCACTTCTCAGACACACCACACCTTTAAGGAAGGCTTTTGTTGTAAACATTACACAAATTCCTACTTTATGCTGCAGATGTTCCTGAGGTGACTTTACTAACCAAGTGTTCCTGTTTCAGGACGAGGGGAAGGACAAGGCTCTGCGGTCCTCTCAAGCGTTCTTCTCTCAGCTGCAGGACCAGGTCAAAAGTCAGATCAAAAGCGCAAAGGACCAGCCTTCAAAGAAGAAGAAAAACAAAGAGGTTTCTGTTAGCAAACTCAAGTTATAATAGCTGTGATGGTTTGTTAGGGATTAGCAATGATTTATTGTATATATTTTTATGAAAATGCAAAATAAATGTTATGTCTGAAATTCTTGTAACATTTTGATTAAAAATAATCAGGATTACAGATGTGCTGGTGCTCTGTTTGGTTTTTGCTCATTTCCCATATCCCTCTGTATGAATAGAGACTCCACCACATGGCTTTAGACGGTCCTCTGAATATTAAGCCATTTTCTAAGGGAGTCTTATCTCTTGACACTCTTATAAAATGTAAGCTAGTGATCCTCTGAATCATTCTGGGCAGACAACAACTGGGTATTGTGCTCACTCTGTAGTGTGGGAACTATGCAAATAATATAAAATAGCCTCTAAACCTTGAATAAAGTAGGTACTTCTCTCACTAATGGATATTAATTGATATCTTTTTGTAAAGACTGTATTTATAGATCAAAGACATGTAATTTCCCAGACTGGAAACGATCAATTTCACAGTGAAAAGCAGCTCTTCATTTTATTTTATTTTTTTTTAAAGTGGAATTCAAGTACAGGGAGTGCAGAATTATTAGGCAAGTTGTATTTTTGAGGAATAATTTTATTATTGAACAACAACCATGTTCTCAATGAACCCAAAAAACTCATTAATATCAAAGCTGAATGTTTTTGGAAGTAGTTTTTAGTTTTAGCTATTTTAGGGGGATATCTGTGTGTGCAGGTGACTATTACTGTGCATAATTATTAGGCAACTTAACAAAAAACAAATATATACCCATTTCAATTATTTATTTTTACCAGTGACACCAATATAACATCTCCACATTCACAAATATACATTTCTGACATTCAAAAACAAATCAGCGACCAATATAGCCACCTTTCTTTGCAAGGACACTCAAAAGCCTGCCATCCATGGATTCTGTCAGTGTTTTGATCTGTTCACCATCAACATTGCGTGCAGCAGCAACCACAGCCTCCCAGACACTGTTCAGAGAGGTGTACTGTTTTCCCTCCTTGTAAATCTCACATTTGATGATGGACCACAGGTTCTCAATGGGGTTCAGATCAGGTGAACAAGGAGGCCATGTCATTAGTTTTTCTTCTTTTATACCCTTTCTTGCCAGCCACGCTGTGGAGTACTTGGACGCGTGTGATGGAGCATTGTCCTGCATGAAAATCATGTTTTTCTTGAAGGATGCAGACTTCTTCCTGTACCACTGCTTGAAGAAGGTGTCTTCCAGAAACTGGCAGTAGGACTGGGAGTTGAGCTTGACTCCATCCTCAACCCGAAAAGGCCCCACAAGCTCATCTTTGATGATACCAGCCCAAACCAGTACTCCACCTCCACCTTGCTGGCGTCTGAGTCGGACTGGAGCTCTCTGCCCTTTACCAATCCAGCCACGGGCCCATCCATCTGGCCCATCAAGACTCACTCTCATTCCATCAGTCCATAAAACCTTAGAAAAACCAGTCTTGAGATATTTCTTGGCCCAGTCTTGACGTTTCAGCTTGTGTGTCTTGTTCAGTGGTGGTCGTCTTTCAGCCTTTCTTACCTTGGCCATGTCTCTGAGTATTGCACACCTTGTGCTTTTGGGCACTCCAGTGATGTTGCAGCTCTGAAATATGGCCAAACTGGTGGCAAGTGGCATCTTGGCAGCTGCACGCTTGACTTTTCTCAGTTCATGGGCAGTTATTTGGCGCCTTGGTTTTTCCACACGCTTCTTGCGACCCTGTTGACTATTTTGAATGAAACGCTTGATTGTTCGATGATCACGCTTCAGAAGCTTTGCAATTTTGAGACTGCTGCATCCCTCTGCAAGATATCTCACTATTTTTGACTTTTCTGAGCCTGTCAAGTCCTCCTTTTGACCCATTTTGCCAAAGGAAAGGACGTTGCCTAATAATTATGCACACCTGATATAGGGTGTTGATGTCATTAGACCACACCCCTTCTCATTACAGAGACGCACATGACCTAATATGCTTAATTGGTAGTAGGCTTTCGAGCCTATACAGCTTGGAGTAAGACAACATGCATGAAGAGGATGATGTGGACAAAATACTCATTTGCCTAATAATTCTGCACTCCCTGTATATTGATCATTTTAATTATTAACCAATCATGTCTGTAGATTAGTCTGTGTATTTTTAACATGTTTGTAGTTGTTTTGGCTTCCCAGTTATTTATTTCATTTAAATCTATGGTACAATGTTTACTTGGATACTTAATTTTGAGGTTTATTTCATTTAATTTGTGCTGCGATAAACCACAGATTTGAAACAGACTGCTTCATCTTGATAATATATTCATACCCCCTAGTCCCCAAACCCACCTTTGTCCCCCCTAATTTTATCAACTGGGTTATCCCACAATTAAATTATTTCAAGCAAAGGAAAAAAACAAACAAACATTGTAATTAGCCTCCACCTAACTTAACCTCTGTTAACTGTTAACTTTTGGAGTTTTCTGTGTTAGGTAGCATTTAAACTAATTGGTTCACCCTGTACTGTGGACAGCTGCGGTATTTCTAAAATAGCATACAAACTGTTTTATTTATTTATAAGAAGAAGTATTAGGGCCATATTTTAAAAAAAGAAAAGGAAAAAGTAACGTCATCGGCTGACAACTGGGTCACACCTGCACCTGTGATTAACGCTCCTTTGATTCGGACAGCAACCCCGCCCCTGGGTTATTCCCCCATGACGTCACTGGAGATAATCACGGAAGTGAAGTGAGCGACGAAACAAGACTCAAATAAGTTGGTGTGTGCGCTCGACTCGTATTTACAGGTAAGCTTCTGGCATTTTTTTAACCTGTTAAACTATTTCGAAACTATCTGAATTCTTAAAGTCTTTCAGTGTATTTGACTTGGTTTTGTTGACGTTAAACGACGGAGCTAGGTCGGTAGCTAGCACAAACGATAACAGAAGACTGCTAACAAAGCAAAGGCTGTAGCTAGCAGATTTGTTCACACAAGCACCGGCTCGGGTTTTTAAAAATGAATGATTGTAATGTTAATGGATAAAACGGTACTGGACACGATACGACGGTATCGTTTAAAGTAGCATGGTTGGCCTTCTTGTTACCTGTTCTCGGCGTCAAGCTAAAGCTAATGTTTTGAGTCGTTGGTAGTTTAATACTTTGTGTTGGTAACTAACTTGTGTTTATTCCTGACCTTGTTTACGTGTGTGTGTTTGTGTTGTGTGTCGCGTGAATGTGCGGAGTCATTGTGTTACGATGGGTTGGTCATGCTCACATGATTGAGTGACTCACTGGATCAGAGATGGTAAGTTAGATGGGCTCCATAGGTAGTCTTCACTTATTTCCCCTCTCCTCTCTCCTGTCCAAAGGCTGTCCGTCATCATGCTGGGAGGAGGTTTCAAATCAGAGAGGCTGAGAGTCAATCTCCGACTGGTCATCAACCGACTCAAACTCCTTGAGAAAAAGAAAAGTGAGTCACTGTGCTGCTCTCCAATAGCTGAAGTGGCTCTTTATTTGTAAAGTAGTTCTAATGTTTGTTTTTTTCCTTTTCCCATATTGCCAAATTTAATATAAAGCTGAGCTTGCTCAGAAGGCCAGGAAAGAGATTGCAGATTACCTGTCATCAGGTAAGGATGAGCGGGCACGGATCCGTGTGGAGCACATCATCAGAGAGGACTATCTGGTTGAAGCCATGGAGATCTTAGAGCTTTACTGTGACCTGCTGTTGACTCGCTTTGGCCTCATTCAGTCCATGAAGTGAGTACTGAGCATTGTAAATTCCTTACCTTCAGTGTCCGTCCTCGTTAACACGGTTGCTGTTTATCCATTATTAGAGAACTAGATCCAGGCTTACAGGAAGCAGTGTCCACTCTCATCTGGGCAGCTCCTCGTCTGCAGTCAGAGGTGTCTGAGCTAAAAATTGTAAGTTCTATCTAAAAATTTGTCTCCAGTGATAATAAACACTTGGTATTTACATCTATTCCTTTCAAGTCAGTATTGACAATCTTGTTTCTAAAATCTTCTTTCAGGTGTCTGAACAGCTGTGTGCAAAATATAGCAAGGAGTACGGCAAGCTATGCAGGACAAACCAGATTGGCACAGTCAACGACAGGGTAATTTTTTTTCCCCAGTGACTGTCCACAAGCTTGTATAGGAATGTATGAACCTTTTGTCTAGTGTGCTCTTAGCGACATCTAATCAAATATCTGATTTCAGCTGATGCACAAACTGAGTGTTGAGGCTCCTCCCAAGATCTTGGTCGAGCGCTACTTGATAGAGATCGCAAAGAACTACAATGTCCCCTATGAACCTGACGCCATGGTCCGGGTAAGCAGCAAAGAATCTGTTGTTACTCAATGTGAAAGTTGGAAATTTTGCCCTCTGTTTGTTTATTTACCATCCGCTACTTCTCCGGATAGCCCGAGGTGTGTACTGGGGAGGAGGCAGACCTGATTGATGTCGACAATGACAGGAAGTTTGGAGGAGGAGGTGGTGGAGGATTCACAGCTCCTCTAGCTCCTGGAATCCATATGCCTATGCCCATGCCTATGGCTATGCCAATGCCAACAGCTTTCAACTATCCACCTCCCAATGGAGCTGTAAGAGTTTTTCCTTTTAAAGACGATGATTTAGTTGAATAATATTGTGTTGCTTTTTACTTTCTGTTAAAGATTTAACGTGAACATTTCACTGATATTAAAACAAAAACACTTTTTTTTTAACTTTGCCTTGTAATGACATGCAGATAATGTTATGCTCATTTTCAGGATATTGCTACATGTGTATCTGGATGGAATTTTGTTTTTGGTTCTCAGAACATCTAAAGAAATTAGCAAATTGTTACTACTGGCAGTGACCCCTCAGCTTTTCATCCATTTCTGAAAGGCATAGATGGCATGGAGCATTTACAGCACTTGTTCTAAAAAAAAGTATATTTTGTTACATTTTAACAGTATGAAAAGTCCTTCACAGCTGCTTCTGACTTTTAAAGCATGTTGTTTTGAGGACAATTTAATGGTAGTAAGATCACCAGGATGAAATAGATTCTAGTTTGTTGTATTTACTCTGTATGAGAACTATACACTATATTGATAAAAGTACTGGGCTACCTACACCTATTGGAATCAATCAAGACCCATATCATGAAGCTCCTGGCACGCAGTTTTTGGGCTGATGTTAATGCCAAATGTTAGAACTCTATAGTTATTGAGTCAGCAGTCTTAGTGACTCATTTAACAGCCTGACTTGTTAACCTGGTAACATTGTATTACAGTACCTGTTCAGTGACAGTGAATGACCCATTCATTCATAAATGTTCACAAAAGGGGTATGGCCCAATACTTTTGACCTTGTAGTGTAATATGTACTACCTTCCTCAAACTTGTTTGACTTTTTTCTTTTTTTTTTTCTTTTTCTTTTTTCTTTTGCTTACCCCCAGGAACCGTTTCATGCACCCGTTGGAACCTACAACAGCTTCCAGCCCCCCATGGGAGGAGGGCAGCCACCTCAGTTGCCCACTTCTCCCCCTACATATGAGTCTGTAAGTCTGTACGACTGAACCCTTCCCCTCCATCCATGTCCCCTTCATGTTTCCAAAGATGGACAGACGGACAGGGCAGGGAACCACTCAGGGAAGAACTGTTTATTCGGCTTGCTTACAGTTCTGCCTGTCCTCCATACTTTAACATTATTTCTCAGAGTAGGCCCAGATTCAGGTTCATCTGCACGGATGTAGGTAGCATGAAATTGGCCAACTTTAACCTACTAACTATGACCTGATCAGCTTTTCTTAGCGGGACTGAAAGAAGCGATAACTGAGGCCCTTTACCAAAAATCATGTTTAGTGTTGCACACTAAAGGTGATGGTTTCCATTTTTCTTTTTTCTTTTTTGTTTTGTTTTTGCATCTGCCTTTTATAAATGAAGTATTAATCAAAATCTTATTAATACTAACAAATATATGTATATATTTGTTTTTGTTTTTAAATATGGGGATGAATTCATCACGAACACATTTGTTTGTTTCAGATTGACGACCTAACTGAAAAACCTTCTGTTCCTTCCCAGGGCGTAGGTGAGTTCTGTCAACAATCAGCAGCACTTAAATGATGAGAGGGGAATAGTTTGTTTTCTTATTGTCAGCGAATCAACTGAAATGACTATAACCCACATTGTGCCAGTTAGTCTTGAATAGTATTTAAATCTTTTAACTACCCACATGAAATAATTTTTTAAAACATTTCATATATATACGTAACTCTTTGACAAAATTATCTTGTAATTTATTGTGCAAATTGAGCATTATTAGCATGCCAGTGTGCTTGTTGGAAGCAGATTTGCTGCTTTGATGTGTATTTGCTGCAGAAGGATGGTGAGGCTCATACTAATGAAAGCAAAGGTTACAGAGTGCAGCTCACAGGTGGGGGAGGTCTGTTCGTTTGTTTATTTATTTTAATCTGTGTTGTTTGCAGTAGATTTTAACAAGGTGGGAAAATAAAGTAGGGTAGGACTTAAGTTATCCTTAAAATGCTCACCTGCCAAACATTTTCCTAAATAATTAATGCCTGTTACTCTCCAGGTCCCGCTCCTTCGGCTCAGATTTATGACAACAACGCTCTTCCAGAACTCCCATCTGTTCCTGACACACTCCCAACATCCTCCTTGGGCAGAAGCAACACCACCTCGGATGACATTGACTTTGATGATTTGACACGGCGCTTTGAGGAGCTGAAGAAGAAGACCTAAATACTTTAACCTGATATACATAAACAGGCCTGTGTCACCTACACAGCTCAGAACAGGAAATAGGAATTGTTCAAGGCTCTGAATCAGATTTGGGTAGCTCTCCTCCCTCTTTCTTGGTGAAGTAATTTTACACAAATATTAAACATACATGTAATCTATTACCTCATTTATATAGCTGTGACCAGCTAATGAGAGAGAGTACTTTTTAGCGCCACATGTTTTCATTTCTTCTATTTGGCACGTTGGATAAAATCTTAAACAATCATGCGGGTATTCACCCCTTCTCGCTCCTTATTTAAAATCGCACTGAAGTTTAACCTTTTCCATTTGTCTGTGTGGTAATTAATATGTTCACATTTAGATCTTAAGTGTTGATTTTTCTGAAGGTTTTGGGTTTGATTGATATTTATAGTACATGCCTTTATTCTACTTTGGACACACTGTCGCTGTGATCTTTGCCACTGTGTCGTTCAGTCCCGTCTCAGACCAGTTTGACAGGTATAGCGGGCTGCGCCACCTCTGTGGCGAACAAGCTTTTACGCATTAAAATCACCATTTAGTTTCCAAAGTGAGGCTCCAACAGTCAGTGAGGTTTTTCTCAGCTGTACCGGGACACATAGAAGCCATATTTTCAGTGTGTTACGCAGTTTTTCTCACTGTGGGATTGTTAAATACTCATTATTACCGAGCTTCTCAAACTTCAAGGTGTATTTGTATCAGAAAAATAGTATGGTTTCAAACCTTTTCCGTTTGAGGGCGATGGGACACAGATGTAAAATGACAACATGTATGGAAATCTGTAATTTAATACACTTACAGCAATATAGGTAGACTTATGTACATGAATGATTTAACTGTATAGGAAAAGGAGTTTGGCAACCGGGAGTTGTTCAATATTTGACAAATCTGTTTTATATACACTATCTCCAAATAAAGTTTTCTTTTTGCCCTTTTGAATTTCAGTTTTACAAAATACCTGCACTTTTTTTATGACTGAACAAACAAATTTGCAATTAAAATCCTGGCAGGTGAAAGCAGCCAGCCAGCAAACTGATTTGATTAGATGTAAAGTTTGAGAGCAGAGGAAAAAGTTCGTGCCATTGTGATCTTGTGCATGGGTCTTGTACTGTATGTTCACCACTCCATTTGCCTTACCTTTCACCTCTCATCTGAGGCCTTGCCAGTCTGTTTTAGGATTAAGCATCTGTTATCCACCAAGACTGGACACATAATACGTTTTTCAGTTTCTAATTGACCTTATTTGCGTTACACTCCACAGATTCTGAGTTTTAATTTGCTTGATAGATTAAAAAAAATCTGTACAGGCATTAGAGGTAGATGTTTCTAATTATTGTAATAAGTGTAGTGAGAGGTTTTTGTTATTGTTCCTGTAACCTGACTACACCGGGCTCTGCTTGCATGGCAAATAGACGGTGGCCTTGAATAATATGACTCAGCGCTTTGAAAAGCTTCCCCACTGGGTTATACGTGCAGTTAATTAATAGTTTTACATGAGCTGGGAAAAAACGGAGAGATAATTAACCCTACAGAACTGTGATCTGCTCACTGTCTTTTCTATGTTCGATTGTTCTTTCATGTTAAACTTTAAGACACAAAATAGTGTCTTGTTGCAAAAAATAGTTCCCCTCCCCCCAAACAATGTATACTACAATAACAATTTAATAAAAGACTCTTTGGAACTGGAAAGCTTGTAAGGTCTGCACATAATTTTCCATCAGTTTTTCTTTTTAAAAACAACCTGTAATGCTCAATGGTAACCAGCAGAGGTCGCTAATGTTAAGGGAAAGCTCTGAAAGGGAAATCATTTTTTCAATTATGTAAAACATACTGTGATTTAAGTTAATGTGAAACTAACCTCTTTACATAATGGATCCTTTCAGTTATCGCAACATAGTCTTGCATCAAGTCATACTTGACTCATTTTCTGTTTGACACTTGTGATCAATACAGGTGTGAGTTAAGAGCGGCTCAATCATGTGAAAACTCATCCTGTTAAGTTTTAGTGATCATTTGGCTTTGGACAGTCTCCTCTTTGTTCTTTCTTTGAGTTTCTAACAGTAGGATGAGAGGCAGAGCCTTCAGGTATCAGGCCTCACTCCAGCTCTCAGTTTGGATTTGGGAGAGAGATTAGGCTTAAAATTTTACTTTTTCCTAAAGCTCATGTTTTCTCTTTCATAGTTTGTTTTATCTGTGTCTCCCTATCATCTCCTTTTTTCCTTTTCTCTTTTCCCTCCCTGAGCCTGGTTATCCTGGATGTTTCTTCCTGTTGAAAGGGAGTTCTTCCTCCCCACTGTTGCCTAGTCCTAATTATAGGCTTGTTGTTGGTTTTCTATCTTGGGGAGCCGCTACAACGAGTCTTCAACCTCAGTCTGCGACTGGGGAGAGTGCCCGCCCCATGGAAGACATCCTGCATCGTCCCGGTCCCCAAAAAGAACCGGCCCAATGAGCTGAATGACTTCCGACCGGTGGCACTGACGTCACATCTTATGAAGACCCTAGAACGGCTCTTCCTCAACCTCCTCCGACCACAGGTACAACATGCCCAGGACCCACTACAGTTTGCATACAAGGCGGGTGTCGGAGTGGAGGATGCCATCCTGTACCTCCT